GCAGCCCTTATTATATGATTTCTAAAAGTTTTATCAATCTTTTTTTGCATAAAAAGATAAGCATGCCACCCAAAGTACAAATCCCATCCTTCCAAGTTCAAAATTCTCTTATTGGATAAATTAATCCAGTCAGTCATCCAAGTCAATGCACAAGAATCATAGTAAAGTGTCAAATTTGGAGCTTTAAGTCCTCCACGTTGCCTCCAGAAGCGGTGAATGCACCAACACTGGAAGTTTTTAAGAAGAAACTGGACAGCCATTTGTCCAAAATGGTATAGGGTTTCTTGCCTGAGCAGGGGGTTGGACTAGATGACCTCCAAGGTCCCTTCCAACTTTATCATTACTATTATTATTATTATGATTATGATTATGATTATTATTATGATTATTATTATTATTATTATTATTATTATTATTATTATTATTATTATTATTATTATTATTATTATTATTATTATTATTATTATACAGCTGTCCCTTTCACCAATGTGACTTTGGGCGGCTTAAGTTACAAAAAAAAAAAAAGTTCAAAACACACACGCACAGAAAAAAAAAAGAATACTGGACCAAAAGAACCAAAGACATGACAAAAACAAAAACCAGGAAAGAGTATGGAAACCATAAAAAACATAATCAGCAGGACAGCACCATCCGTTTCCTTAACAATACAGCCCATTTCCTTACAGGCACTTTGCAAGTTTCACACCACTTCAACTCTTAAGCGTTAGTATTTCTTTATTGTTTTAAATAGGGGAGCTGATTTCTAAGCCTTTCAGAATTCTAGATGTGAAGCAAAACATGGTATCATCTCTACCAGGTCCCTTTTGTTTAAATAAATAAAATAAAATTGCTCCTGATCTTATATATTTTTGGTCAATCAAGGAACAATCCAAATAATGATTGACATAGATAGTGCTTGGAGACAGGAAGGCTCTTTCCTTTTATGGGAAGTAATTGTTGCCCCATAAACCAAGAACGGAAGCAATGATATTGAGGGAAGTCAGCTCCCCAGAGAAGGAAATATTAAAAGGGCAGAAAAATATATTTCCTCAAAAGGATTTTAAAAGCAGAAACCAACCCTGCCCCCAAATCTCTCTGTCCCGAGCAAAAGCCAGACTTTTTCTTCAACAATATAAACTGTGATTTAGACAGTCAAGGGTTTGGTCTCATCGGATCATGCACTGAGAGCTGTGGAGGGTCAAGAAAGTCAAGATTACAGCTGCGACCATGTGAGTAAAAGTGCACAATTTGTATATATGCACAGTAAAAAGGGCAGGGCTTCAGTTTTATTTTTTATTTTATTTATTTATTTTTACCCTGCCTTTATTATTATTATTATTATTATTATTATTATTATTATTATTATTATTTTAAAATATTATAAATAACTCAAGGTGACAAATGTACCTAATCCTCCTTCTTCCTCCTATTTTCTCCATAACAACGTCCCTGTGAGCTGGGTTGGGCTGAGACAGAATGACTGGCCCAAAGTCACCCAGCTGATCTCATGAATGCTTGGGCCTTTGAATAAAAAATTAATAAAGCTTTGAATTATTTAATTCTATAATGCCTCTCCTGCAATTAGCAATTTAAATATTAGAGAGTTGTGTTGTGTATACAAACTTAAGTGAACCTGTAAGACTTTTACCTGTGTGGAGGGGGTATGTGTGTCTCTTCCTATTGTCTTACAACAGGTCTTTGTTTTGAAATAGAGTTTAAGATTATACTACAGAACTGTTGCCCATATATTTTAAGTGTCACCATGATGTAGACCAGGGGTCTGCAACCTTGACAACTTCAAGACTTGTGGACTTTAGCTCCCAGAATTCCTCAGCCAGCATAGCTGGCTGAGGAATTCTGGAAGCTGAAGTCCACAAGTCTTAAACTTGTCAAGGTTGCAGACCCCTGATGTAGACCATCACAATAAAATAAACTGATCTGACCTCTCAACTCAGAATCCCTGTTGCTCTGTTTCAAGACCTTAAAGGATGAAGCCAACTGACATGTCCTTTCCTTGGCTATAGAAAAGACCGACACTGCATCTAGCACTTAAAAGTCTGGGCCGAATCTAAAAGCCATTTCAAAGTTCCAAGCATTTCTATCAAGCCTAAATGAGAGCACCTTGTTGGATTTCAGCATGCCTCAGAATAACTAAATAGGATCAATTGTGATTTGATGGCAAGTGAACTGTTTGGTTGCATCCATGAAGTCACTAGGAATCAAGTTTGAATAAAGAAACTTTGCCTTTTAACATTAGACAGAGGAGCCTAGCATGCATCCCAAGCTAGACCAAAAGGTAGCCAAGCAAAGTATACTAGTGTTCATTTCTTTGATATATATCCCATTTTCTTCCCAAAGAAAGAAAACCTGACTTTTAACCCTCCAGTAGGGTTCCTTGGATTTTAACCTTTCAAGATTTTAGCCAAAAAACAGAAATGCATTGGCTGTATCAGAAGTTTATTTTTTTTAAAAAAAAAAAAGTGGGGTGGACATAATAGAATAATTTCTCAAGATCAGGCTTTATAGACCTGTTGCCAAAGCTTCTCCACACCTGAACTAAAAATGTCCTTTTTTTCAAATTAAATGTGCAACAGGCACAACATTTCCCATTCCAAGAAGAAATGTGCAATCCTACTTGGCAGTACAGTATAGAATTCAAGTAATGCAGAAGTATATTCTGTTAGCTGGTGTTTTGTTTTGTTTTTTTAAAAAAAGAGTCAAATCTACAGTGAGAATGTAAAAATAAATCTAAATCCCAGCCATGTGTATTAATTTCAGGATTAATCCTTGGGAAGTATTCCAATCTGAAACCTGTAGAGCTGGTGCCAATCGGCTGAGACAGTATTAAACTTGATGGGCAAATATCCAGCTCAATATAAGAAACCTTCTCGTATTACTATTCTAGAAAATAAGACTGTTATGTAAAATTGTCAAGCTTATAAAATAGGTCAGGTGGCCAAAAATCTTCAATATCATTCTTAAGGTTGCTGTGCTTGATTTTAATTATGGGAAATGAAACTGAAGACAAATATACATAGCATAAGTAAGTGGTACTTTGGGGTGGTACAAAGTATGCACACAAATCCCAATTACAATCTATTTTGGGACCTCCCATATTACACTGCCAACTTCCCCCCCAAAATTGCTGCAAATGCTTGTTTTCCTGTGTTGCAATCATATGCATATTTATTCAGATGGGTCCTTAATTGTGTCAAATTTGGAGGAATAAAAGGAGAGGATTGCTATTCTGTAACCGGAAGTAAGACATTGTTTCTCTTACTGTTTTATTAAAAGGCACCATTAAAAAGATACAAACTATACAAACTAAATGTATAAAAAATAAAAAATAGATATTTTATTAAGTTTTTATAGTTACAAATCTTTAGTGCTTAATAAACAACATGTCTGGGTTCATATATTTAATACAACTTCCATTTCTACTCTCTATTCCATTTTTCTAGCCATTTAT